CTGCTTTCAGAGACCTTAACTGAGTTGTTGTTATCTGGGAGTTAGCACAGTCAGGCCTGGTTTGTTTTTATGCTCTCTTGGTTCTCTCAAATACAAATTTTTTAATAACTTGCTGGAAGAAAGGGTTAAAAACCTCCCAGCTGTATAAAACCTCCTGCAAATGTCACTGCCTTTCCAGGCATGCTTGCTGCCTGCTGATAGACCCAGCAATGGTTTGATGAGATTTTGTGGGATTCACTCCCGTTTTTCTGCTGGCTGAAACCAGACATGATGATGAAACCCCATACACCACCAAAACAAGAGTAACCACAGTATTAGGAGTAGCTGCTGCCCTTTCTTTAGTCTTCATGGGGTCTACTCACACAAGATTGTGCTGAGGCTGCTGAGATAAGACACCTTTGTAGCTCAGGGAGGTACTTCTGGGTCCCAGCTCCTGGTCCAGACTCTGCAGAGAGGACACAAGGCTCAGGGAGGAATTTTTGCCCAGCACAAGGGCAAAGTGCCCACACTGAGGAAGGGCTGAAGCTTTGTGGGCTGATGCACATCCACCCACCAGCATTCCTGCAAAGGAGGGCAGGTCTCTCCTGGAGATGCTGCTCGCCTCATCCCCATCCCATGCCCATTCCCAGGTGATGACGATGGTGCAATCTGAGCTCTCTCAGCCATGGCAGGGAGACCTCAACAAGACTCCACAGGCCTGGCTGGGGAGGTGAAACCTGACCCAGCACCTGCCCTGGCATCACCTCAGCCAGCCGGGACAGCTGGGATGAGCCTGCACCTCCTCTGCCATGGATGGAAAGGCAGATTAACTCCTTTAGAAATATACAGGTATATCTTGGGTGGCCAGGGTTTCTTACACAGCACAGAAACTCTCCTTGCCATTGCCAGGCTGCCTGGCTGTAAACACATTACCGAGCTGGAGGGCAAAACACATCAGTGCTGATTCTTCTTGGAAAACCTGACCCTGGGTGTGAGGAGCACCTGGAAATCTTCCTCCCAGCTCTTATGCTAATCCAGCCCCATGGGCCTGCTGAAGCTCATTGAAATTCAGGGGGAGTATTCCCACTGAGCTTTGAATAAGGTCGTTTTTCTCTTCAATGTTCTTTTCTTTTTTCTTTTTTTTTTTTAAACCTATGCTCACTCTGGGGGAAAATGTATTTAAACACAGAAGTGCTGTGTTTGCAGCCTTGCTGCTGTTGTCTCCCCAGCGGCAATGCAGCTCTGTGAGAGGCTTCATTCCCACAGGGAGGTGGTTAGAGGGGATGGCCTCTGCTGCAAAGCTGGTCGAGCCCATTTCACCTCTCTCCAAACCCACCCAGACATTGTGGGTCCAACTGGGCTGATGTGGAGTCAAATACTGCTTGGGCTGCGCTCATTTTTTATATGAGAGAGGGATAGTGAATGGAAGAGGTGGGCTGGCATGGCTAGGATGAGATTTTCCTTGGTTTGGGGGTTGATTTGGGCTCCTTTCAATGCATGCTTTTCATCTGTGTACCAAAATAGTAAGTTAGGTCTTATATAAAAAGTGTTTTATCCAGGGAACTTGAAGCACCTCTCGAAGAAGAGTGGTTATTTCCAATTTACAGACAGAAATTAGGCTTACCCAGGGTTGCACACAGCAGTGGTGGCTGAGCTGGGAATGTCCTTAATACTGCTTTGTTCTCCCTCCCCAAGGTCACCATGTCTCCTTGTCCCCTGTGCTATTCAGTCAGCATAAATGCTACTGGACCTCAGACTTCCTTTTATCCCAGACCATCTCCCCTTCTACTCTGCAGTTATCATTAACTCATCTTTGGTTTTGGTGACAGCAAACAAAGACTTGGCCATTCTTAGCCAAGCCCATAGTCAAGGAAGGTGTAAAAGGTCCCAGCACAATCTTGCCCTGACTTCCCCGAGGTTTGACATGGAAGGTTGGAAGGTCCACAAAGCAAAAAACCTTCACCATTTCTCCCCAGCCAGCTTTCCCCTCTTGGCAGCTTTATCAGCCTTTCCTGCTTTGCCCTGGGAGATCTTTAACTAGATGAGCAAGGTTTGAGTGTTCACTGCTTTCTGTTTTCTCCCCCTTTCCCGCTGAGTGTCTCTCCATCTCCCATCCCTCCTCAGCACCAACGCTGCCTCTCCTGCCTGCAAACACAAAGGTGAGCTCAGGGAACACTGAGTGCTCCAGATAGGAAGCAGATGGGATTGAAAAGTCTGGTACAAATTGTCTTTACTTTAATTCATTGAAACTCCCTTAACCCCCTCCAAGGCTGCTCTCTGTATGCTTCATTAGAGAGCTGAAAATGAAGCTGCTTCTTTGCAATCCAGGATTTTGTAGCATCAGTCATAGGTGTCACTTTGCCCCACGTTATTCATAAAGGTGGTGAACATTGCAAATGGCTTCCTGTGAATATGTGCTTGGATGCTGGAATTAATTCACTGGGTGAATTTTGCTCCTTTCTTCATGCTCCACCTTTCTTTGAGTGTTCATAGAGTGCATCAACTGGAATTAATGTCTGCAAAAACTGACTTTTGTAACAGGATGAAAATCAATAGAAATTTTCAGTTTCTCTCTTCTGGCTGAATCACATGAACATTTTGAGCCAAAGTAACAGAATGTGTCATGGGCTGAAGATAAATGGTCAATCAAAATTATCCAAAATCCATGTTTTGACATTTTCCATTGTAGTGAACTGGTCAGATTTTGCTAAATCCTGTTTCCTGTGACTATGAATCATGACACATAAGTTTTCATTTCCAGCTACTTCCACAGTGGATGAGTGTAGGGTACTACAAGGCCTTTGGGAATGTCAACAGCTGGATACAGTTGTTTCCCTTTTCCCTGCAGGATAAATTCCTTGGTTTTCCTATTTTTGGTGATACTCACTCACAAGACTTGCATAATACACCACAGGCTGGAGGCTCTTTTTGCCTTATGCGAGATTTCCTCAGGATAAAATTATAGATTTTGCAGTAGCTTTTTGCTAGAAAAATGTATTTTAACAGAAAATTTCCAGACTACTCTGGAGCTGGGATGTTCACAGTAATCAGTGTTCATGGAATGTACTTTTAAAACATATACTGGTCATTATTATTTTGCCATATTTTGACACCTGAGCCAGGAGGTAAATCCCAAATCCTGTGATCCACATAAACTAACCATCCCAGCTCAGAAAAGTAATACTGAAAAATTTGAATCAAACATGAGCATAATGAGTTAAAAACATTTCAAATAATGCCCAACTCTGGCGAAGTAAAAACCTACTTGCAGGGACTCCACAAGGAGAAAAAAAATCTAAATTCATTGGATAAATTATTTGTTGCAAATTATTTCTTCAGCTCTAATTAGTAATCTTCATTTTACACAGTAGGCCTCTAATGACCTGCTTGACAACTATGATGTCTGATAGACAGTGGGGATTTGCACGAAAATGAGTTTTGTTTTCTCCCATCCCAGCCGTAAAATGACAACAGTGAGGCTGCTTGGCTTTGCCGTGCAAAAAGGGAATAACCAGGCACCCAAGCTCTGGGGTAAAGGAGATAATTCAGCTAGATTTTGGGAAATAGAGGGGAAAAAAACAGGAGGCACTAATTCAAACAAACAAACAAAAAAATAATAGCGCCCTGCACACAAAGACTAATCAGATACAGTTACTAAGTGGAGTCATGTGAATAGCAGATGATGGAGCGAAAACACAAGATCCAGCTCCCAATGAAAACATGGTGACCCAGCTCTGATAAGTCTTGCACTGCTGTTTTCTGGGATTGAACAAGCTTTTGCCTTTTTATGGCAAGGGTTTTTAAATTTTGGACCTATTTCAAGAGCATTATCATCTCCTGTCCGCTGATAATTGACAGGATTTGGATCTTTCTCTGGCTTGTATATCCTGAACCCAGACAGATTCAAGAAGAAGACAATGCTCTTGCCAGTCACGAGCAGCTCAAATAAGGTTAAAACAGAGCAAGAGAAAATCAGGATAAGGCAACAAGGCTAAAGCCCCTCCTGGAGCTCTACGGGTTTCTTTCTCTGGGATTTGAAGTATTTTTTTGTGATTTCAGCAGTGTTATTCCCAGCCCAGTTCAGCACATCTTGTGCTTTGACAGCTCACTGCACCTGGAAATTATTGTTTGATAAAAACTGGCAACTTCCCTCATTTTGGAAGGTTTTTTTGGAAAAGCAACTTTATTCTTACTTGCTTTCTGAACTTCTGCTGGTGTAAAAAGAGGTGAAAGTGGGTGTTAATGTAAGGTGCAAGAAGCACTGTAACACTGCTTGTGTGTTGATGGACAGTATTCTTTGATCTAGGGGTGAAAGCAGGGAAAAGGTTGAAGGCTTGGCAAGCAGTCACTGGGTGCACATATATAATCTATCATCAGACAAGCTGCCATAGGAGTCCTGATGGTAAATAGAACATGATGGTTTGAATTGCTACAGTATTGGGGGAACTGAGACCAGAATCCGACCTCAAAAGCAATCTTAGCCAATTTATCTTTTTTTAATTATTATTATTTTATTCAAAAGAGCATTGTAACCATATCAATTTGTTAAGAGAAAGGAAATTTTTAGTTGCTGGTCCTCCTGTTCACTTGAGTTTTCTCTTAATGATTTGGCAAATGATCTCCCAGAAAAAAAAAGATGAAAGATGTAATAAACTGCTTTCAGCCACTTCTCTGTGAATTGATCCCACTCCTTCTTCATGTATTGTTGATCTTCTAATTTAATCACTTGTCCAGAGGGCACATGCAATTTTTTAGGAAGTAAAAATGTCACACAAGGGAAAAAAGGAGGAGGGTGAGAGTGGAAATGTCTTCCCTTGCCAGGCTGCATCTCCGATAGGGGAGGCACCACCCAGCACAAGCGCTGCCCTGGGCTGGGGGGTGAAGAGATGAAGAGGAGCCTGCCTTCATCCTGCTGGCATCAGTATCACCAAGCTTGGCTGGGGGAAGCATAAATCATTTGAGGGTGGATGGACAGGCAGCCAGGAATACATCAACACAGCCAGCATGATTGCAGGAGCTTTATTTTACCAGAAAACCAACCTAAAAATAGGCTGGGGAGGGCACGGGGGAGTGCTGTGTGCCAGCAGCCCTGGCCAGGTGAGCTTCCCCTCAACACCTTTGCAGAGGCAGCAGCAAAAGTGATTTTGCACAGATGGGCGTCAGGAAGTGAGTCTGTGCAGTGCTGGTTCAAAGGGGCAAGGACTGGCCATGGTCTGCAGCCTGCAGCTGGTTGACAATGGCAACCTCTGGCTTTCATGTATCCTAAAAGGCAGAAGCTGAAGGGTTAGACATGGCTGTGCTTGTGGACGCAGCACTTGATTTATTTATTTAATTCTTTTGTGTATTGGTTGGGGTTTCTGTTTTTTAGGGTCAGGAGTTGCTATTTTAAAACGCCCTGTAAAAACCAGATGTGTAAATCAATTAACTTTTAAAGTGCATTTTCATGAGTGGGAGAAAACCTGCTCAGCTGTGATGCCAGCCCAAACCCACAGCCCTGATGCTCACCCCACACAGGTGTTCAGCCCCTCAAAGCCTTGAGACAGGTCCTTGCTTTCACTCCCCAGGGTCCCTCTGCCAAGGGACCAAAGATCTGCATTCCTGGGAGAGGAGAAGAAGCAGTGAGCAGCAATTTCTGCACGTGGATGTGGAGGGGACCTGCTGTGGGGTGGCTGAGGAAGGCATAGAGAGCTGCAACATGCAGCAATTTGGAGCAGGTGGTGCGGGAGGAGAAATGTCCAAGAAAGTCCTTTCTAGGGAGTTTCCATGAACATCTGCAATGTCGAAAGCCAAGCTGGGACATGTGCCCATGGCCCTGTGTGTAGTTCTCATCCAAATTTACTCCTAATCTCCTCCTGGTTTAGCTGGGCTGATCCAGGCTGCAACACCTGACAGTCCTTCCCCTGAGACACAGCAGAAAACGGGGATGTTCGTGGGCTCTCCGAACCTGAGACTGCTCTGTGTCCCCTCGTCCCCCTGGGTGTCTCCTGGGCACAGGGTGAAGCAGAGAATGACCAAAATAGCCCTGTGTGCCTAGAAAGTGATGGCAGGTGGGGCCTGGACCTGCCTCTACACGGTGAGGGTCACGTCTCTTGGGGTTTAAAAAAAGAAACGGGCTGTGACTGCGGGCCAAGTCCTCTGCTGGAATAAATGGCCACGGTCCCACTGAGCAGAGTTCAATTCTATTTATACTGGCAAAGAATTTGGCCCATCAGATAGAAGAAATCCTGGACTCTGCTTTGACTCTCCAAGTTTCTGCCCTGTAGGGCCACAAGACTCTGTGTCCATAGAAAGGAACACTAAAAGGGAACTCTACCACTAGCACTGTTTCATAAAAATTGTGGATACAGGGAAAGTCAAACTTTTCATAGGAACACACCCATCCGGACTGGACTTTCTTAGGGGCTGTTTCTCAGTATACTCAAACCATAAAATTCCCCCCTTGGCAATATTTGTACCTCATCACAGCAAACAACTGAGTTCAAACCATGCAGAGAACCAAGGATGGGGAAAAATTGGGGAGGCAAGAAACCCAAACTCCAATTCTCACTCTGCCTGTGAGACTTTCACCACCAGGGAAGCATCTTAGTAAAGGGTGATTTGCTCATCCAGGGTGTTCCTCTCTCCAGGAGGGTGGAGAGGGGATTTGGTTTTGCTTGTTTGTTTTAGGGAAGCTTTGAAAAGCTCTGGCTTCCTTTCAAATTCAGGGGAAGAGCTGCAAAAATCTAAAAAAAAACCACCAACCACCAAACCCAAAACCTTGATGGGTTTTGAAAGCTCTTTCCTGCCCTGTTCCAGAAGGGGTTGTTAATTGCAGAGCATTTCAATTGCAGAAAGTCTGACTATTGAGTCAAAAAATCTTTTTGAGCCTAACCAGATGTGTGGGGCTTTTGTAAGTCACTCTCAACATTGCAGAACCTCAATATAGTTAGCATTACTCAGAATTTTTATTGCCAGTGGCTGTGAATATGTCTATATGCATATTCCACTGCAGAGACCCCTACAAGCATCTAAGAACCAAAACTTCCCCTCCACGCCCCGGCCACCGAAATTAGATTGTAGCCTGATTGTGTAATTACTGTGTAACAAGGTTTGCTCAGCCCCTCCGTGCACGACGCCTGTTTTCATAGCATTGAATATGAGCGACATAATAGGCACCAGCTTGAATAGCCTCATGCCAGCGAGGCATTGCATTTCCCAAAGCAGCTTGAGTTTGCAAAATCTGGTCCAGCTGCTCAGCACACAGAAGGGTGACGAGCAAATGTCTCCCAGCCCGCGCCGGGCCAGGAACTGGAATGTGCGTGGGGAAACGCTCCCCTTCCCCAGCCTGAGGTGGGCTGGTTGGCTTGAAGCACTGTCTGGGTTATTTCTTCAGGTTGCCATAAGACAACTACACTAATACTGTGGCCTTCACATGTGTTTTGCCTGCACCAGCGTTTGCAGATCTGAACCAATAATGCTCGCACTAATATTGCTCCGTCTGCTGCTGCTCTGGTCTTTCCTCTTTTCTCTGAGTGAATGATTTAAAATGGCTCAAATCCCACACCAGGCTTGTTTTTCTAATGAGTTAGGCAGCAAATTTGCTCATGTATTCAGCCCTGGCTTCATCCTGACTGGTATGGAACTGGAACAGCCCATAAACAGCAATTTGCTCATCTTTTAAGCTTTATTGTTTGGGCAATGGGTTTTACTTGGATGGTTGAAGACCAACCCTCTCTTAGCACAAAATGTTTTCCCTACTCCAACAATAACTACAACCCATTCTTTCTGCTTTGCATTTATTTGCAATTAAAATAAATGGACCAAATGCTACCAGATGAAATGAACACGACATTTCTGGTTGACTTACCCACAGTTCCAACGGGTCCCATCGCCCGGCGGTCGCTGCGTGTCCTCTGCGCCCGTTGCATACTGCTGACATTCTGGCTCTTTCCTAAAACAAGTCCTTCATGGACTCACTGGATCTTGTTCTCAGCCTGTCTCTGGAAGGGGCGTGTTGACAGTGCACAGTTGCTATGGGAGGGTGGTCTCCAGTTCTGCACACACTGTTTTATTCTGGGGGATGTGAAGGAGCAGAGCTGGGACCTGTCTCCCTGTGATAGTAGAGCTGTCTGTAAGTGTTTGGCTGTTGAAAGAGAATGGCAAAGCAAAGATTATGAGCCTGAGCTTATTGGAGGTAATCTTTCTAAGGGTTAACATAATTGAAACATGCTGTCTGGAACAAAGAAGTGAAGCATTTTGAGAAATTTTCAGGCTCTTTAGCATCAGATACATACACTTTAGGGAAAGGTTTTCCTGTTCTCATCCTTTCGTTATCGACCATCTCCTCTAACTCATGACTCAAAGTCACCCAGATCATGCTCCTTGGTTTGCCACCCTGCAGTGCTGTGACTTGTCTCTCTGTTTTGGGAAGTGCCCAGGGCAGCACCCAGGAATAGCTGCTGCTCTCAGTGAGAGCCAGGCTGATAGAGGAGAGAGTGAGGACAGGACAAACTCGGGGCGGTATCGACATGCCTGTGTCTGCACTCTGAAGAAATCCACCTTCCTCCCATAAAGCTATTTTCTGTTGGTGATAAGACCAGCAGAAAGCTATTTGGAGAAAGGCTTTTTGAGTCTGAAATGTGCTAAGGAAGGCACTCAGGCTATTGGGAAGCTAATGCCCCTGTTCAAGTTCTTCACCCTTTCTCTTCCTAGGCTCACATACTGCCATTAGTCCTGCAATAACAGCCAGTACGGACACACTCTGAGCCAGGGATCTTGCCCTTTTGTCATCTTGAATTGTATTTTCCTGCAGAAGCGTCACTGTTGTCAGTGGGATGCTGGGGATGTTAGTGATGCAGCGGAGTTGGACGTCAATTGAGGGACAAGAGAGAGACAGAAGAGCAGATGTCTCCCCACACTTCCTGATGCATTGAGATGCAGCAGTGTATCAGGACACCGATGGCAGTGCCTGCCTTCCCATGGCTTTGAGGCAGCTGGGGATGAGGGAAGGCACAGATCAGTCTAACCCATGAGCTATCCCCCAGTGCTTTGGGCTACAGGGGCTTTGAGAAGTCTCTCTGCATCCAGGCCTTCTTTCAGTGTCAAAGGACACTTCATCATCACAATGACATTAGGACTAAACTATCCAGCTATAGTTGATTAGCAGCTTTCAAGGGAAGGATGGCAAAGTGCTTTATGAGCTGCACACAGAACACTCAGCTGCACTGAGTCATTCTGGGACGGGGAGCAGTGGAGACACAGATCTGGGACAGAGAGCAGCGGAGGCACAGACGGTCAGCAAGCACGTGGGGCAGGAGAGGAAATGCCAGCAATTCCCGGGCAGACATTCACTCCTGCCAAGTATGCCATCAGGCCTTTAATATCCCCACGGAGCAGATATTTTCAAAGCCTTTGCTAGACCTTAGGAAAAAAATCGTATTTTTAAGGTGTTTCTAGACAGATGTACTGAAGAGAAGAGGAGCGTGTACATTCAGGTCGGCCTCTGCCCCTCTGGGGTGCTGGCGCGGTGTGTTACCAGGTCAGTGTGATCCCAAACAAGCCGAACGTTTCGGGCGAGAGCGGTCACGGTGTTTTCGGCTTCGTCTATTTTTATCAAAAAACACATGGGCTGCTTTGAGCATCGAGGCTTTTGGCACCTGGGCGTATCCACCCCGTGATTGCTCCCGGCTGCACGCACACCCCGCGCCCCGGCCCTGGGGAGGAGGGCAGGGGGAGAGCCACGGAGGAACGAGGATCTCGCTGCACAGAAAATGGGCATTTTGACATACTCCCATCTCATATTAGAAATGTTTTGATTTTGCTTCCTCTGCAGAACATAAACAGATTTTGAAACCTCAGAAGTTGCCATGAGACAAACCCGTTGTTTCCTGGCCAGCTCTAATTGCGGTTCGTGACCAGCCCTTGCCTATTGAAGTCAGAAATTACACAAGGGAGGATCCTGGCTCAGCAGAGATTTGTAGGGAGAAATGTGATTTGTCACGACCTCTTTAAGCAAAGTTAATTCTTCAGTTAAAGACTTTTTTTGTGTGTTTTCTGTCCCTCCTCACTACCAGAAAATACCTGCAAAAAGTGTCCTACATGCAGTGCAATAATGGGAAGGGGCTGACATGAACATGGCATGTGATATGAATATGGTATGTGATATGAACATGGCATGTGTTATGAACCTGGCATGTGATGTCAACATGGCAATGCCCTGTTTTCTCTGGCTTTCGTGCCCTGGAGTGCTGGGATCTGAGTGCAGCCCTGTGGGAACTGGGGGAACATCCCTCGTGTGCCAGAATAGCACAGCCACCCCAAGGGCTGAGCTGAGCCTACAGCAACAGTGTCCCCTTCCTTCACCTATGTCTCTGTCCCCTAAATCCATAGGCTGAGGCTTCTGGAGTTGTCTTGGAGATTTTAATGCCCACAGGAAAAAAAAGGAAAAAAAAAAGAAGAAGAGAGAAGAAGAAATGAGCCACCCAATTCCTGCAGACAGCTTTGAAAATATCAACCTTGACAGCTTTGAAAATATCAGCCTTGTATTTCTGGGCAGCTCAGGAGCTCAGAATTGCTGCCAAACTGGACAGAAGTAGGGTAAAGCAAGAAAAATGATGAAGTCCTTGGGCAGAGGGGCTTGCCCATGGTGGGAGGAGGCAACGAGGGTTGCCTGACCACATTGGAAGAGTGGGGCAAAAAAGGTGGTTGGATGAAGGTGGTTGGTGTTGAGCAAAACAAAATGTGGCAGCGCACCAGGAAACCTTTCCTCAGGCTGAACTTCAACCTGTTGTGAAACCTTCCCTCTGGGGAAATGCTGGAAACCCCCGAGTTCATGGCTGGAACTGCAGGAGGCCCTGGGAGGATGTGCCCCGCAGTGAAATCCAGCTCTGGAGAGAGCTGGTGTACCTGAGCTCTTCTGATTTATCTGATCACATCAAAGCAACCCATCCTGCAGGGCTCAGTGCAGGCAGAGACGTGACCAGCAGCCAGGTTTGGCAGA